TTGCACCAACTCTCATAGTTGTCAACTTTCAGAATTGGTAGCGTTGCTGGATAGTTTGCATTCTCATAACTTGTCATCGTGAATTCTTCAATCATTCTTGATTGACACTTCCCTTGAATCGAAACAAAAGCTCTTGATACCAGATGTTGGAAATCCACCAAATTCTATGATGATTTTCTACCATAATGACAATTTAATTATGAGACAAACAAAGAAAAGAAGACAAGACAAATAATTTCTGCAAAGTTTCTCTCTGCTCACAAACTGTGAAAACTTTCTTATTCTCTTTGCAACTGTAAAATACTGTGAATGACTTGGTTGACTTACTTGACTTACTTTGAAAAATAGGGGTTACTCCCTCTATTTATAACTGATCTTACACCCTAAGCCCAAAGCCCAAAATATCTTTTTGTTACTAAATCAAATCAAATCTATTCTGGACTTAAATTAAATCTATTTAAATCTAAAATAAATCAAATCTTCTTTGACACTATGAATTACAATTTAACAATTTCCTCGTTGTTGTACATACAGTTCCATAAGAGGAACTGGTAGTTACAAAATATGAGATCTGTGAGGAACGTTGTTTGGAGTAAAATTGAAATGACGGGTGATCAAAATTGTAGTCTTGTACTTTTTTAAGTTCCTACTCAGTCGAGTTATGGTAAAAGGAATCCTATAGTAAATTAAACGACAGACAAAATAAAAACTAAATTACCATGTTGATTCTGCTTCAGTTGACTCTGCATTCAAACGATAGCCATTTCACGAACATGGTCCTGAATGTCAAAGCACATCTCCATCCTTATTAACCACGAATTTCCATACAACACCATGCTTTCTAAGAATTTGTGTCACAATTAGAACCAAATATAACATGATAAATATAAATGAAGATATCACTTGAACATGCTCCATAAATGTATTTTCAACTTTAAATATTCTAATAGTAAGAATTTCCCATTATCTCATAGATGTTAAGTGGAGCAACTCGATAAAATAAATCTCTCAAACAAATAATGAAGTCGTCATCGAATATTTATTTATTTCGCAGAAGGAAAGAAAAACATCGAAGAAAATATAAAGAGGATGAAATCACGGTCTTGCGACCGAAAGATCGGGTAAGAGAGTCGATTATGCGAGGGGAATATATTAGCACCCCTCACGTCCGTGGTACTCCACGGGTTCCATTCTTGTTGTCTAATCTAATTGGTGTGTTTAAATTTAAAGCTAGGATGTAAAGGGAATGCATGGATGTAAAGTATTATGTACAAAAAGAAAATATTTTATTAGTTGTGCTTGCCTCGGTTGCGAATCTTTGTTCCTACGTACCACCTATCGTATAATGGGGATAAAGACATTTGTAGTTCACCTCAAAAAATTTAGTTGATTGCATGTTTTTTATGGATAATGTTGTGTTCGCATCCTTGCAGTTAAGATTGCAACTCGTGCTTGGTGTTGCAGCTCGTAAAAGACTCACGCTCGACCACTCACACACTTAGCATTTCCAGGTTACTCGAACTTGAAACAACACACCCTTATTGAAGAGGTTTTAAAAGAAAAAGTCTGAAGACAAAAAGAGTTTGCATTGGTTGATGTTTTTTACATTGAAAAAAGGATTTTTGTAAAGTTATAGTGTTTTTGAAGTTTGAACAAAGAAAATGAGTTTTAGTCTTAAAAGGGATGCCAAAAGAAAAATCTAACAAAAAGGAAATCTCAATCCTACTTGTTGTCATGCTTGTGGACCTAAAGTTGGGATCGAGAGAATTATACCTAATATTGGCATACAGGGATATCAATCCTAAGGTCTACTTAGTTCAATCTTGATCAAGAATGAACTAAAGATCCTATGGAAAGCATGTGAACACACACAATAGAAAGAAACATTCAAGCAATCAAGAACTTAACTAAGACATGAAATCAAGCAAGCAAACACATGAGAAGTATCCACTTACTCAAGTAGCACACGCCTAACCATGATATCGTGTCAACAAGGTAGGATAAGGAGAGAGATAACACCTAACCATGATATCATGTCATCAAGGTAGGATAAGTGAAAGGGACACATACCCATGATATCAAGTCATCAAGGTAGGATGAGGGAAACTCCTAACCATGGTATCATGTCACTGATAACACACAAAAGCATCGCATATTCGGCTCGATTAGAAAAAATGATGTTACCATTTTCTGTTAACTATGTTGCATTATGTTGGTATTTTAAGTGTTTTTCAGGTATTTATATTTCACAAGAACTGCATAAGAAAAGAGGAAGAAATGATAGAAATGTGTGACTCTCTAGCAGAAAACAGAAGAAATTGCATCCGAGGACTTTGACGGTCGTCACAGCCTCCTACCGATCACCACAATATGTGTTTATGTGTGCCTCTCGACACACATGTGTTACGGTCGCCACAACTTTGACTTGTGCGCCCCACGACATACAAGGCACGCCCCTCGCCACAGTCTGTAATGCTCCACGTTCGCAACAAAACTCCTGTATTCTCTCAATCAGAACAAACTGAGCTCGTATTATGCTCCACTTCATGATGACCATGTTCTTAATTATTTGTAGAAGCCGAGTTTTCTGATTGAAACACAACTCCTAAATTTTCTCCAACAGAAGTTGCAAGAAGGATATAAAAAGGAACCAATTAAGCAGCAAAGTATCTCTGACGCCTTTGTTCAATTTTCTCATACATAACCATTGTTTTAGAAATTTTAAGTAGATACTTTCTCACCTGAATTAGCAATAGTTTTCTACATCGGGGAACTATTGCACGAGTATATTTTATTCACAGCTTTCAGACTTTGTTTTATTCTTATATTTTCTTTCTACATTCAAGTTATTTTCCGCAAGCAAATCCTACCGGCATATTATGGAGGATTGCACTTGGTACTAGAAGTATATCATTAATTTCAGTTTTCTTTTATTCATTCTAGGTTTCTATTTCATTGATATATACTACCTTTATTTAATAATCATTATCATGTTATTGTTTGTTTACTGTAATTTTGTGTTGGTTCTCAATAACATGTCTGATTAATTTCCCTGATACCAATATGTAAGGTCATAAAACCGAAGGGGTTCGATAATAAATTGGCATAAACATTTTTAAAATACTTTTCTGGTTTGATTTTCAACATTTAATATCATGTCATCAAGGTAAGAGATAGAAGACAAAATGGACAAACACGAAGCATTAATGTTGACTAATGTGAGCTAGAGACAAATTATGGGGGTTGATTACGAACCTTTTTCTACTCGACCGACTCGATAACAAGAGTAGCACGATTCATAGCATCGACATACGACGTGAGCTATGAATGACCTGAGTACTTGAAATGGCAGAGGTCGATTACGGACCCACACTTCGCCTTATTTCCTTCTTTAAGGACTTTATCAATGCCTTCTTCGAGGTCTTTGCACAAAATAAAGGGGGATGGAATTTGCCTTTGTTGAGGTATTTTGCATACAAACAAACACAAATATTGCCTCCTTTGAGGATTTTAAACAGAATTGCCCACCTAAAGTAGGAAATCCTAGTCATGCGTCTCTATTCCTACTTCTCATGGAAAAGAAAGCGGAAAACAATGCAGAAATAAGGTAAACGAGAAAGTACCAAACGGATAACAATCCACCTTTGTATAGCAAAGCGTAAGAAACCTGAAAAACTTCGTGCAAGCTAACATTAACAAACAAAATAATTAGAAATCAGGTGCTCAGAATAGGCGCCAAAGCATCGAAAATGTGAAAATAAATTACATGTGAAATGTGTATCGGACACATCTGCATGACAATAATAAACCTGCACAAAGATACCAATCTAGACAAGCAACAATAATATATATATATATATATATATATATATATATATATATATATATATATATATATATATATATATATATATATATATATATATATATATATATATATATATATATATATATATATATATATCATGCAATGAGAAACACAATCAAGCGTGTCAGAAGCGAACTCGAATCCACAAAGAAGTGGAATAAAATGCTTTTCAATCGAATAACCAAGAATTAATTAAACAATTGAAAACTCTCTTGAAATGTCCTGCACAAGTCAACAAAAGAGTTAGAAATAACAAGGAGGAAAAATCGAAATTAAGTACGCACATTGAAAATTAGATCAAGATTGAATTATGAAGAAACAAGATCCAAACATGCATTAGAACATTAAAATTAATTTCCAGGCATCAACACATTAACACATGAAAGTACATGAAAAGTTGGAATTAAATCAACCAAAAGTGATACCGGTATCAACCAAATATGCTAACAAGCTCAAATATGCATTAATTATGAATTAAATCACAATTTAGATGCAAAAACCATTTTTCGGACAACATTTAATTGATACATGAAATGCACAAAAAGTTGACTTAAAATAAATCAAACTTGATACCGGTATCCACCAACTACCAACACAAGATCACTTATGCATCGAGCAACAATTAAAACACAATGCACAACATATTTGTGAACTCCGGGCAGCCATAGTGTATGTATCAATGTCCGTTAAAAATCAATTTGACAACAATGTTTTAATGCACAAAAGCCAAACATCGACACATGAAAATCAATCGGAATTCACAAATAAGTTGTAATCAATAAACCAGTACCGATACCAACAATTTCAAGCCTTGAAACCAATATTAATTACGCGTCGAAAACAAGTAAACACCTTGAAATTTGATTATGATACACGAATTTAGACAAATTATCAACAAATCTCAAATCAGAATCAAATTATGACGCGTAAATCACAACACAATTGAATAATTAATTCTGACGCATAGATGTCAACAATCAACAACAATTAAATAAACCGATTCCATATTTAATCATCATCAAGCTTCAATAATAAATGAATATCACAAAAATCAATTTAAGCTTAATTCACATAATCACTTACTCTCACAATCAATTCATGCTAAGACTCAAAACTCAATTAATTTCACCGATTAAATCACATAAAAAATAAAATCGACCAAGGAATCAAGAGGAGTTACCGAAAATTGAATCATAGAAATTGAATCGGAGGCCAGAATATGGATCAGACAGCAGCTCGGAAACAGAGGGAGGAGATCTGGCAAAGCTTGCATGGAGACGAGGGTAGAAGCTGGAGGGAGTATGTCCGAGCGAGGGATCTGAGGCGGAGGGAATCGGCCGGAAGACCGAGTAGCGGCGGTAGGGGTGACTGGTAGGGCGGCGCGCGGTTGAGGATGCTTACTGGAGGTGCTGCTCGCGGAGGGAGAGGGTGGAGAAATTGAGAGTTTTGTGACTTTTGCTTTTTTGTTCTTCTCGTGAGAAACTTGGGAGAGAGTTTTGAATTTGAGTGATTTTTGTATATAATGAGAAAAAATGATTTTCATTTGAATCAAAACATTATAGAATTGAGCTAAGGCCATGTTTGGCAAATGGCAAAAAAGACTAGTTTTCCCTTGTTTTTGAATAGTGCAGAATTTTTAGCTTATTTTCATGTACAACTTGAGAAAAAACCACAAACTCATGACTTTCGGTGCGTAATCCCGACGCGAACCCTGAAGCAAAATTGTAGATGATAAAATTTGTGACGTCGTACCGAAAGAATCGCCCCGATATAATAAAAATCGAGAAAGTTATGAATTTTTCAATGGAGAGAAACTTGAGACAAAAAAACCCTTTGTTTTGGTTGCGCGACTTTTCCACTGTACAAATTTGGGAAGCGAACCATCAACCGAAGTCTTCGGAACATAATTCGAATTCGGGACCTGAAGCAAAATTGTATCTAACACAATTTTTGGTACCATGCTTCAAGAATCCTCTCAAAATGTTGAGAAACTAGAAAGTAATGATTTTTTGAATATCGAGAAAATAGTTGACCGACAATCCGTTTCACTGTGGAATTTTCAGGTAATTTGCACTTTCGGATAACTTCTTCACATAATTGGCTTCTGAATCGAACGTATGAAATGTAAAAGATGTCAAGAAGAGTTTAATGCTCAAAGAACCACTCAAGAATAATTTTCTGGTCAAAAGTTATGAATTTTGCAACATACAAAAAAACAATGGACTAGTAAATCCAAATTTCAGGGTATTTGCATATTCGAAGATATTCTTCAAAGAATTAGTTCCCGAACCAAACATATTAATTGAAGAGGATGTTGAGGTAGTTTTAATTCCTAAAGACCCACTAAAAAATAATTTTCTGGACGAAAGTTATGAATTTTTGAAGTTACAATATGAAATACTACTTTTCTGCTCAAATTGTTCCGAATTGACTGAAACGCTTGATTTTCTCTGAAATTCAAGGCATGCTGGAACACATGCAAACTTATCATGATGGTGAATTGACTTTCAACTGATTAAATAGCCTAGAGAACACTCTGAGCATGTTGACTAACAAAATAAATGTCTTCTGTAACCTACGAAGCTTAACAGAAGTGCCTTGATCCCATAACCATAGAACCAATGATATGTATGCATGTGTATGATGATGAAATATAAGCCAAATATGGTTGAAATGAAGAGGGTGAATTTTGGGGGTATAACAGTTGCCCCTATTCAATCTTCTTAAACCTAAAGCGAGATTGGCGCCAGCCTTTTAAGCGATAAGGTAGAAGGGGATTGAATACAAAAATGAACTAAAAAATTTACGCTCTAAATTAGGACAAGGTGTATTGACACTGATAATTATATTAGGTAGCTTTATGGTATTGAACCAAAAGAAACTAGGTCTGCAGGCGAAGAAGGATAATGAAAACTAAATGATAACGCAAAAATACATAGCATATTCGACCCGATTGCATAAATAAAGTTACTACTTTATCTCAATTATGTTGCATTATGTTGGTATTTCAAATTTGTTTCAGGTAATTATTTCATCCAAGGCCTACATGAGAAAAGGAGAAGAAATGGAAAAGAAACGAACTGAAAATTAGAAAACAGCAGAAAATAGCAGAAGAATTCATATCAGAAGGTTGTGACAGTCGTCACACCTTCCTTGACGCTCGACACAAGTTAAACATGTGTGCCCCTCGACACACATGCCATGACAATGGTCACAAGATAGAAATATGTGGGGCCCATGGCACACAATGCATGCCACTCAGCACAACCTATTTTTCTGTTTGACGTGCAAGTTTTTATCCACGGTTCTCCATGTTTCCAGTGCCAACGAGTCCTACATTATTTCCTTCTGGTCTTTCTCCATGCACGGATTATTCTGAAGCATGAAGTCACAACTCCTAGATTCTCTCAAGAACTCTGTTATAGGAAAATCACTATAAAAGAAGGACAATATACAAGAGGTCCTCTTCTGCTCTTCGCTCTCTCTCGTTTTTGTCATGTTATCTCTCATTTCACTTTTTCACGCCATTATTCCAGTTTCAACAGTTCAGAGCTTTGTTTAGAATTTAAGCAGATAAAATATTCAGCTAAACAACAATAGTTTTCTACACCGGAAAACTATTGCATCATTAGTTTCTTTTCATAGCCTTCTGAATTTTGCTTTTAAGTTTTATAGTTTTTGTTCTACATTCAAGTTATTTTTCCGCAATAAATCCTGTCGGCATATTGTGGAGGATTGCTTTTAATACTAGAAGTTGCAGAAATTTTGTTTTCATTGTTTAATTCCGGATTTTTAATTCAATTACATTACTGTCTCTTTATTTATCAATCATGAATGAATTATTATATGTCTGTTATTATTTTGTGTTAGTAATAAATAATATGTCCGACTAACTTCCCTGATACCGGTATGTAAGGTTACAAACTGAAGGAGTTCGGTAATAATTTGGCATAAACCTTTTATAAAATACTTTTCTGGTTTGGTTTCCAAATTTCAATATAAAACTGTTTTGTTACGAGAGTAAGAGACAAAAGAAGGCTAAAACCAATAATCACGAGAGTGTGAGTTTTTAACCGGATAGTGATAACCAAACATTAGTTTTATATACAACGATAGTGGTTTAGGATTAATTAGACTCTAATTATTTTCAAAAAGTATTTTTGGATTTTAAATGAGATAGCGAGAGCAAGCATTTAAGTTTGATTTTATAATCCGAATCAATAATCACGAGAGTGTGGGATAAATATTTTTAAACTGATAGTTTCTATTGAACAATGTTTTAAATACTCAAAGCTATGCCAATGATTTAATGAATTCACAAAGTCAGACGTATTACATACACATGTCCTGTTATTAAATATTTCAATTAAGTCTTAGCTTATTTTCGTCTACCCAAAAACCTAAGATTTATTATTAGCCTTAGCTTTACACAATAACTTTAGATAGCAGTAACTCGATTATCAGTCCTTGTGGGTTCAATATCTTTTAAAACTACGCGATTCAACTATGCACTTGTAGTTAATACACCCGATAGACTCATAAAGCAGCAACCAAGTTTTTGGCGCTGTTGCTGGGAACTGATTTAGTCGATATTGTGATTCCTTTGTTATGCAGTATAAACTAAGGAAACCAATTTTATTTCCCTTTATCCGTTGATTGTATGCCAAGCACTCACTCTCAAGGCGGAGAATTAGACCAACCAATTGACGAGGTCGAGCGTTTTGTTAGTATAAGACGCCGAATTAGAGAATACCAAATTAAGTACAATCTTCCCGAATTCAATCTTCCTGATTTATATCTTCCTGAACCAAGAATGGCCGAAGGACCCCAAAATCGTCCTATGAAGGATTATGCTGCCCCATCGCAAGAGGAACCTCACAACAACATTACTGCCCTCGCTATCTCTCGGAACGATTTCGAGTTAAAACCTTCGTTATTACAAGTTGTCCAACAAAATCAGTTTTCAGGATGTCCTACGGACGATCTGAACTTACATTTGTCCATGTTTGTGTAGTATGCAGACACATTGAAAGCAAATGGTGAAAGCCCCGAAGCAATAAGACTTCGTCTTTTCTCCTTTTCATTGAAAGATAGAGTTAGAGCCTGGCTCCAGTCTCTACCATCCAACTCTTTTACCGCATGGAACAAGTTGAAGAAAGTTTTCCTAGCGCGATGTTTTCCGCCAAGTAACACGGCTATGCTAAGAGCCAATTTCAACGGTTTTAAACAAAAGGATAACGAATCTCTTTTTGAAGCATGGAAAAGATACAAAGACATGTTGCGACTTTGTCCACATCATGGTCTAGAAGAATGGCTGATCATTCACACCTTTTACAATGGTCTCTTGTATAACACAAGACTAATGATTGACGTTGCTGCTGGCGGCGCAATAATGGATAAACCTTATCACGACACTTATCAAATTATCGAGAGTATGGCTCAAAACCATTACCAGTAGGGAAGCGATAAAACTGTTATGGAGAAACCTCAAACGAATGGCGGTATGTACGAAGTTAGCAGTTTAGACCAAGTTAACGCTAAGGTAGAAGCTCTTACCCAAAAGATAGAAAACTTGACCACAACTCCCACAGCCACCGTGGCTGCAGTAGCTCCAACCTACGATTTATACAGACTTCACGCACATGCTGCGCCGGAATGTCCACTTTTAACAGGAGTACTAGTTGATCAAGTGAATTAAGCTCAAGGAAATCCATACGAGAATACCTATAATCCTACCTTGAAGAACCATCCAAAATTTTCGTACAAGAATAACAATGCATTATATGCACCTGGACAAACTCCTACTACACCACCGGGATACCAGAAAGCCGCCCAAATTACTCCAAATGTTCCTAGGAAATCCAATATATAAATCATGATAGAAAACTTCATAGCCACTCAAGCTCAACAAAACAAAGATTTTATAAATCAAAACATACACACTAGTGAACAAATAAAGAAGATATCAAACAAGGTTGATGCCCTAAACACTCATAAAAAAATGCTTGAAATGCAAATCTCTCAAGTGGCACAACAACAAGCGGCTCCAGCTGCTCCAGCTGGAACTTTTCCAGGCCAACCACAATTGAATCTGAAAGGTCATGCTAATGCTAAAATACTTTGAAGTGGAACAGAAGTAGAAGGACAAACTGACCCAAGAATAAAAAATTCATCAATGTACCAGAATACTGTTAAACCAACTGAGAAGGAAGAAGAACCAAAAGAATATGAGAAGGGAGATGAAAGCACAGAGGCAGAAGAGAAAGAAAAACCTTACGTACCTTCGCCGCCGTACAAACCATCGATACCATACCTCCAACGGTTAGCTAAATCTAAAAATATAGGGCAATTTAAGAAATTCGTTGAACTTCTAAAACAACTAAATATCACTATACCTTTTATAGAAGCCATTAAGCAAATTCCCTCTTATGCTAAGTTCCTTAAAGAAATATTATCCAATAAGAAAAAGCTCGAGGATAATGAAACTGTTATGCTTATTGTATAGTGTAGCTCTATAACCCAAAATAACATGCCCCTTAAGCT